AAGATGATGAGGATGTTAATATTGTGGCACACTTCCTCACATTCATTGGAAAAGAAACATACAGCTTATTAAGAACTCTGGCTATGCCGGAAAAGCCCATTTCGCTTTCTTATACAGCTCTCAAGGATCTACTGCTAGACTATGCTCAGTATACAAATTTCGAATGTTGTAAAGGAGGAAGATTTCGTAAAATGATTCATGAGGATATAAAAAAGTCCACTACATTACTACGTCATCCCAACCCAGTGCATACTCAAGGTTATGCAGACAATTCATTGAGTTTGGATGCAGTTCACGAGGATGGGGATAAGTTTGGTCAGTGTTTGTCCTGTTGCAAGTTCCACTCTTCTAATTCATGTAAATTTCGTAATTCTATGTGCTTCAAATGTCGTGATATTGGACAAGTTCAGTCAGTTTGTAATGCTAATGTTCATCTTACTGCAACTAATATTAAGTCTTGTAATTCTGATTCTACTGAGTCGAGTATTCATGATGATCATTTATCTTTATCAACGATTTCAAAAGACAGTGCAGAGTCATATGGCAGTTCAGAGTTAAATGAAATCCAGAATTCTTGTGAGACAACAGTTCCTAATCAACCTATTTATCAGAATTCTCATGCTATTGTACCAGGTATGACTTTTCCTAATGATTCACATATTTCTAATGTAATTACTTGTAATTCTGAGGAAAATATGTTAAATGAACCTAATCATGATCGAAAACCTGATGTAGTTTGGATAGATGCTGATTTTTCTAACGATCCTACGCTCTGCAATGACAGTCCTAATGAATTTCATGAGAATATTTCAGAAGAATCAAATCCTGATGTCATATCATATATTACCTATCCTCATAATGTATTTGATCCTTGTGAAAAACCTGCTCAATGCGAAGCACCAGTACTAAGTGACCTCGAGTTTGATTACATTTCGGATGATTTCATATCAACTGCTGTTTACCCTTATCACAAAAACAGTTCTACTGTTTACTCTAAACAATGTGAGAAATATGTTTTAAATGAAGCCACATCATTTATAACATGGGGATATAAAGATCCAACATTATTTCGTGGGGGAGGATAGTGTTGAAAAATCTATGGTTTGAATTCCAGATATTAATGATTTCAGTACAAAACCGACATGCTGGTTGTATACAATCCCAGATAAGTCTTCCGATTTCGTTTGTTAATTCCAATACTAATGAGCACTTTCTAGATACTACAAAGTTTTTATCTTATACAATGTCGGACAGACTCAGGATGAACTTAACAAGAAGACGTACAACCGATTACAAACACTTATACTTCTATTTAAGCTGTGGCGGATGTGGTGTTTGAATGGACTAATGATACCTTTGTACTTGTTGAATGCTCGATTTCGAATTCTAAATACAGTACATTCGTTGTGCCTGTGTCTTCTTAATTCAATTGCGTTAATCCTGGAATTCCTAATTCATACGATAATTCGAATACTATACGGAGGCAGCAATTAATTATTTAGACCTTTTCAGTCCTTCGACAAGTAAGTAGGAATAGGATAAAAAAAATGTAGGTTGGGAAACCGTTGACAATTTTTATTCAAGTGAATACATTAAAAAGAGCTCTCTAGAAGATCAACTACTCGCCAAACAGAATTCCTAGCCGCTTTTAGTAAGGTTTTATTAGATATGTTGCACACAGTGACACTAAATTTAAAAATTATACGCTTAGTTCCTTCACTAATGATAAATTGATGTTTATTGTTTTAGGAACATCTTTTAGATCTAAGAAATTTGTGACTTTATTTAAATTGAACACGAAGTTCCTTCCTGGCATCACAAACCGTCGAAGATGGCATAAATGATTCCATCTTGGAATGTGTGACACTTAGTTTCCTCAAACAGTATTATCCATCCATTAAATTATTGATGTTATTAATTCTTAGTGCAGATAGGTTACCGTCATTAGAAACTGTCTCAGGCACTAATTGAATGCTAGATTCCGTTCCTAAGCTCTTCTAGTAAAATCCAGGCTAAATCTACACAGCGACTTGAACGAGAGAAAAAAAAGGCGTGAAACATGGAAGAAATGCTTTACCCCAAGGTTCGTTTATGTACAGAAATTCTAGGGTATATTTAGTATTTTAGATGACCTTAGTAGCAGTATAGGTAATCATCCACTCAGAAACATGACACGCGACTTCATTTTGTAGATGTTCCTGGCAAAACTTATATTGAATGCTGATTGGATAAGATGCTTCTCAGTGTTTTCAGCGTCTTTTCGGCTTTTTTCGAGTTTCCTGGATTTCTCCAACATTTATATAAAGCATAATATTATAAATAATGTCTATTTACTATTCATTATTTCATCAGAATTAATCCTAGATTTACCGGGTCCTTGTAATTTTTTTCTATACAATCGAGCGGTATCATCAACTAGTCCATTAAAATATTGATAAGAGAAACTAGTCTTTGTTAAGTTTATTACTGACCAATCAGATTGACATTATAGTAATCACTGTATCAACAGTAAATGAAATCTCTCATTTTAGCATCTTATATTTTAGTGGCCCGAGATCTGACTCCAGGTAGGTAGTTTGCTGCTTGTTATCGAAATATACGTATCGCCAATCGTCGTATATAACCGTCGACTTAATTATGTCGACCAATAATGGAATTAAATAAGTCAAATACGAGAATGAATTTCAAATACGTGTATTTCATACAATCATTGATTTAGACAAACGATCGAAGAAACGAAGCGAAATGACATGGAATCGAGAAGGCATGTGAGCTAACTCGAGTTAATCAAGCGCTAATCGATATTGATAGCCACACAAATATAAGTTACAGAAATGTGATGAGTAAGAAAAGAAATGCACACACATAAGAACAGTCAAGGTTGATAAGCGAATAATTGACAAGGTCAAAATATAGCTTGAGAAAAATGAATAGATTAGTTTGTCCAGAAACTAGAACAAGTTATGCAGGCTTAACATAACAACCGACACTATAATATCAATATGTGCCAATAGAAATATCATAGCTCTAAAACCTGACAAATGACTGAATTAGATTATAGTTTAACGAAAGTGAAATTCTTTACATACATTCTAAACGAACATAAACATGCACTGTAATGATATTTGAATGGTTTAAGTTGATCCATCCGATTATAAACACACTAGTCTACAAGAAATAAACTTCCACTTAACCAATAATTTAAAATATCTTTTTAATTAAACTACTTCTTATTAATACTCCACTTTTATTCCATGTTAAACATTGATAGTGTGTGTGTGAAAGTTGTTGTATCCTCACATAACAAACTGACATGTCTCACAAAGAAAAACCTACTTGTATGTGTCATATCGAGGATTCCAAATAGGTCGAACGTTTAGAATTATTCTGTAGATAATTATCATTTATACTTTTAATGTATAATTATTAAGTGATTGAATCAGTTTATTTTTATGTTTGCCTATTTGTAAGCTTCCATCTGACTTACAAATCAATGTTATATTCCTCTATTGTTCTATTTTTGTACCAATAATGACTGAGTTATGTATATATTGTAATTCCTTATTTGTGCTATTTAACTACGTGTATTTGAGGCATGTAATTGTATGATTTTTGAATCATGAAAGAATAGAACATAATAGAAAGGAAATCTCTTTGTTATCTGCATCCCCTGATTGTAGGGAGCTAGTAGGCCGGTAGGCATTTAAATTCTCCGGTCATAATTCACGGTCACTGATTTATTGGTTAAGAGTTTGCTTTGTTATCGAATAAAGAGGTCCTGATGCTACAGGGTAATGTAGGCAAATAAGTCAACAATCAAACTTGACAACACAACAGCTTTCATAACACAGGCATTAATAAGTTCAAATTTTCTTTCTTTCTGGAGGTAAAACAAGCTTCTGACTTTATCAATATAAATGTGTCTTTGTATTTTCAAAAGAGCTAACATGCTTCTATGAATTCAGCTAAATGTTATACAACGGCAACTAGTATTCGATCATAGGTGTCTTCGAAACATTCCTCGTATATCATGGGACCATCGAGTAAGTAACACAGTTGTTAGGAAACGGGTACTAGGTAAGGATGGCAAATCAATTGATGAAGTAGTGAAACTTCATCAGTTGAGATGGCTGGGACACGTGTTACGTAGGCCCAACTACCGACTGCCTCGACGTGCGATGTTCGATGGTATAGGAGTAGATTGGAAGAAAGCTAGGTGCGGCCAGACCAAAACATGTCACAAGTTCATGAAGTCACTGACAAGTGAACTGAACCATGTTGGTAGGTGTAGACTACCTGGTTGGGGACCGCGAGATGATAGCAACCGATGGCTAAATACTTTGAGTGGTATGGCTCAAAATCATTTGCAATGGCGCAGGTGTATCCACTCTTTGTGTTCTCCCAAATTCTAATCTTCTGAATTCTTCGTGTCCTAGTTTTCTCTTTCCAAATTTATTTCGCTGGATTGTACTCCTTGAATAACATATTCAAACCCTAATGTTTCCGATTACTGCTTATACTTTTACTACCTCTACCACTATGGGATTTGGATCAGCGATTGTATCTCTGAGCTAATGTGGTATGGAAACTTGAACTGATGTACGTACGTACGAAGTTCCACATTGTTGCTGACTGACTGACTGACTCGATATAGCCTATGCACTCTTAATCAAGATATATGTTTTAAATCACTAAGAAAAGTCCCATATTGCAAAAAGTCTTGTAAGCATATTATCCTTCTATTCAACACTAAAATGGACCAAAATTTATTGAGAATCCATATTTTTATACCTTATCTTTTAAATGATACCATTTCTAAATTTGTTTGTGATGTTTCACGGAATTGTTTACATTTTGTCTGCTACAAAATAAACAAAAAACGGAATCAATTTGATTTATTGATTAATTAGAGATGATATGAATAGGTTACTGCAATCTGTTTGAAGAAATAATCTTTTTCAAAGATAAATTATCATTTCCTATTATCATTCCTGCCACTCTCAATGGCACGACTTTCGAAGTTCCTTGTTTAATCTTCTTTCATTATCCAATAATTCTTTTGTATAAATTTTATAGGCTTCAAAATCCTTCAAATAAATAAACAATTTCATGAGGTCTATTTCAATCATTTGAAGATGTTTTGTTAGTAAAGAAAACAGAAATACAATTCCATTAAAACTAATTAAAGTAACTAAGTATTGAACAAATTTTGTCAATATATACCACCTAAAGACTTTATACGAATAAGTATTTAAGACATCAGTGGTGAAAAGGTATTGATTACACGTTGAATAATTGATGTGAACAGAGAAACAAGAAGCTATTTTTTTCAGGACGTTATTTTATTTAATTCAAAGCTTGTAGAACAGTAATATTTATTTTTGTTCGTAGTGTATTCTACAGATCATAAGCTTTCGTTTGATGTATGATTTAATGACATAGTCCGTTTTTGTTCCAAAACTATTGTATTTTTCTTAACTGTTGTGCGTTGTGGTCTGGTTAGTCATCTATTTATTCATGTATCTTTTTACACTAATCTGAAATCGGAAACCAGGTCGGAACTGAGAATAAATCATGTAGTGTTGTAGTTGACTAGTTTTCTCGTACTCGCGTACTTGTCAGCTAATCAGGTGATAAAATAGTTTTCGTCCCTCTACTCCAAGCAGTTGATCTCACTTAGAACTCAGGCATACTAGTCTAAAGGTTAAGTCAGTCAGTCTATCGTGTCAGGATCTTAATCTAGATTAGACAAGTTATCCTCTGCATAAAAGTGGCTAGATAGATCAAGGATGTAATACTGATATTCAGGATTGAATTTAGATCAGTCTTTGTTTGCATATATGCATCTTGTGGGAATTGTTAACCGGTCATCTGAACTCACTAGTTCAGTATATAACACGTTGGCGTTTCATATCAAAGATATTGGATTTCAGTTCAAATGTGAAAATCAACACTGGGATTCAGGACTATCGAGTTGAAGAAACCTAAATAGAAGTAAACACGAGTTTTAAATCGCTTAGCTAGTCAAAATCCATCTGTTCTTTAAATTAAAATTCTTATTTTTATGCTATAATTCTTCATTTCAATAGTCACTTGTATCCACAAAGTTTATAAGAGATTGAAGTAAAATGAAATCTGAATTCCAAAAGTTTATTGAATGTTACAGATATTAACTTCTTATAAAATTATTTTATGATTACTTAATTATATAATCAAATTTCATACTCGTATTCTTCATAACAGATCTACAACTGTTAATCCTAAATCTCTCAACTATTGTGATTATGACTTAAATTTACTTTTACACTAATGATAGTGAGTAGATATCAACCCCTATATATCCTCTTTATCGGAATACCACTGATGGATATTTGTTGATAGAAAACTTCACACTCAATATGAAAAATGATTTTCAACATTTTTATCTGTTTCATAAATTAAGTCAAGTTATTATTCAGTGACTACTATTAAGAAATAAAAGTAGCTTGAATAGTTGATATAATACGGAACACATTTGTTATTCTTCGATACTACGGCGTGCCTCAGAAGGTAGTCAATATCATACGGAATTCCTATGATAGATTAAACTGCAAAATTGTGCATGGAGGACAGTTGACAAACTCGTTCGAGGTAAAGATCGGTGTTAGGTAAGGTTGCTTACTCTCACCCTCCCTCTTTCTCCTGGTGATCGACTAAACCATGAAGACGTCTACATCTGAAGGAAAACGCGGGATACAGTAGACATTTAGGATGCAGCTGGACGATCTAGACTTCGCAGATGATCTGGTCCTCCTATCGCAATCGCAACAACGAATGCAGGAGAAAACGACCAATGTAGCAGCAGCCTCAGCAGCAGTAAGTCATAATATACACAAAGGGAAAAGCAAGATTCTCCGATACAACACAGTATGCACTAATCCAATAACAATTGACGGAGTAGATTTGGAAGATGTAAAAACCTTTACATATTTGGGCAGCATCATTGATGAACATGGGGGATCTGATGCAGATGTGAAAGCGCGGATCGGTAAAGCAAGAGCAGCATATTTACAATCGAAGAACATCTGGAATTCAAAACAACTGTCAACCAATACCAAGGTCAGGATTTTCAGTACAAATGTCAAGACAGTTCTACTGTATGGGACAGAAACCTGGAGAACTACAAAAGCCATCATCCAGAAGATACAGGTGTTTATTAACAGTTGTCTACGCAAGATACTTCAGATCGATTGGCCGGACATTATTAGCAACAACCAACTGTGGGAAAGAACAAACCAGATCCCAGCAGAGGAAGAAATCAGGAAGAAGCGCTGGAAGTGGATAGAACACACATTGAGGAAAGCACCCAACTGCGTCACAAGACAAGCCCTCACATGGAGTCCTGAAGGCTAAAGGAAAGAAGGGAGACCAAAGAACACATTACGCCGCGAAATGGAAATAGACATGAGAAAAATGAACAAGAATTGGATGGAATTAGAAAAGAAGGCCCAGGACAGAGTGGGTTGGAGAGTGCTGGTCGGCGGCCTATGCTCCATTAGGAGTAACAGTTAGTAAGTACATTTTTTGTTCAGTAATAAAGTTCGACAGACGAATGAAGGTTATTTAATACGTTTTTCATCAATAACTTATGATGCTTATAAAAGTCATTACGTTATTTTCATAGAACATATATTATAAATTTAGTTTTAAACCTAAAGAATGAAATTTGTAAAATTTCAACGAAAGAATTTGAAGTAAATTCAACGTTTCGTCTGGCTATCTGGTCCAAGCTTTTTCAAGGAAAATAAAGAATGAAATACTAATGAATCCTACCTTGTCAAATAGATCACGATCAACAAACAATATCTTTTATTTTCACAAATTTTAAACAACGTTAAAAGAATAACGACAATCATTACAACGGTACATTAAGTTACATTTACGACACGAAAAACATTCAAAATAATAACAAACCCATAAATATAAACATACCGTTGCTCACTAAACTTAGAGATTAACAAGAATAAATCAAAAGTTAATCATCATTTAGTTTTACAAACGGGATTTAGTTCATTTTATTATGGATTGATACGAATTTATCTGATTATTCCAGTGAGAATATTTATATCTTTTTCAAGGTTTTAATCGCTGAAAAATTCCCATTGTATTAAAACACAATTGTATGAACGAAGAAATGCTAAGACTTAAGTTTAGCAGATCAATTCAAAGGACTTTTAATGAGGGTAAACTACAACTAATGTTCTCCACACGACCAATAATCACCCCGATGTTGAAAGATAAATTACCTAGACTAGCCACCTCCTTCTATATCTATCAATTCAACTGCTCCTGTGGAGCAAGTTATACTGGCAGATGTTCTAGGAATTTGTACATTCGGGCTCGTGAGCACCTTCCCGTGTGGTTAAGCAAAGGTGTAGTCAAAAGTGGTAATAGCTCCATCTTAGACCATCTAGTTCAAACAGGACATACAGCCAATATGGAGCAATCTTTTGCAATAGTCTATCGTGTTAACAACAGTCTACCTAATTCCGTCAGACTGCAAATCCTACAGACGGCTGAACAAGCCAGAGCTTTGCATCCAAAATAAGTATGTTCAACCACTCCTTTTACCCTGGCCAACTTTGGGGCCAACTAGTTAATAATTAATTTTATAATATGATGACGTAATCTGATTAATGTTCATTTTATGCCCCAAACGTATTTATTATTTATTATTTATTATTTATTTATTATTATTATTATTATTATTACACTTGATAACCTTTTTGAGAACTTTATTCAATGTCCACCCCTAAATCTACTATATCTGATCTAATTCATATTATTCTACATATTACGTAATTTCTGATTTTTATCCCATTATTTTCTCTCTCACCCCATGTTGATCATATTTATTCTGATCATTTATCGCACAATTTCATTTCGCTTATAAACTGATTCAAGTTAACACTTTATATTAGTCAACCCCAACATTAACGATCTGAATTGATTTTATATAACAAACAACAATTCTTGATTTACAAATTACAATTTCAAAATGATGATGTACTCTCTGCCTTAAATCTGGCCAATTTTAAGGATTATTAATTTGGATATGAGATAATTTTAGAACCTGATGAGAAATTTTTCAAAAGAATTTTCAAGCTTTGACAATATTGATAAAGAATATCAGGAGAATTATGTTTCTTGTTTGTCGAAACATATCAACAAAACATATTGAAATTGAATTTAAGGCATTCTGAGTTAAATTTACCAATGTCACTTCTAAATTATTTGAGACATGAATCATTTCTATCATACTGAACCAAATACGTTAATTAATCTGCTTGATTTACAAATTCGTTTGCACTTTGTAAAGTAAGTTTATAGGTTGACCCCAGGAATCTTGACATTCAGTCAAAATACATGGATAGACAAGTCATTTAACTTAATGTTTACATTTTTTTTAATTTGTCTAGTAGAATCTAACTATTACTATGGACTTAACAACGTAGTAATAATTGCTACCTATTGGTCCATAGATGCGTTAGATCTCTAAAAAAGTTATTAAAGAGAAATACGATGTTGTAAAATTGTTTGAAACGCTCCTTCTAGTTAGAATCAAGGTACAATACTGGTAAAAAGTCTAACAATATAAAAAACAACCATGATAGAAGATCATAATAAGGTTAGCACTCTAAGCGGTATTAAATTAAAACATCGTCTACTATACCATTTTACTTTGAATTATTAGAAAAGATGAAGTTTCGAATGGCCTCAATCGTTTTTTTCAACATTATAAATAATTCACAAGTATTTTATCTTGGTTTCACTTTCTTAACGAAACAATCTATACGTTTTATATCTTATTATTTGGTTCGTACTCATAGCTTAGTTCTGTTAGATGGGAGTGGATATTTATGGAAGACTAGAGTTTTAAAATTATTATACGGTAAATTATTATATCCTTTAGATATGTAATTAAGAAATAATTAGTTTATGATGCCGTCCAAATGTTCTGGGGTCATTAATTAATTAGTCACTTACTGATCAGTTTTTGTATCACTTATAATTTATAATCAGAAAAAGGTTTGTGGAAATTTTAGTTATTTAATAGTTGAATTCATGAGTCAATTAAAGCTAGACTACCATGGAAAACCTAGAAGCACTGGACGGCCGTTTTGTTTTAGTATTGGACTTGTCAGCTGTGCGCATCCACGATCCCGTTCAGTGCTTTCAGGTTTTTCGTGGTGGGCTAGCTTTAATTGACTCATGAATTCAACTACTAAGTTACTATAATATTCACAAAACCCCTTTCTGGTTATAATCATCATATTCTCAAAAGTGACTGTCTCCAAGAGGCATTTCCTGGAGTTCTAATGAGAAGCCGTGACCAGTGGAGTTCAACCGGGTCTGTTGTGAGATAGCAACTCACTGGAGACAATGGTGGACGGTGGCGCAATTTCGCGGATTGGTTGAAGTTAGACATCAACACCGTTGGATGCCGGATCAGTGATCTAGAAGTTAAGCGTTTGCGCGCGAGACCGATAGGTCATGGTTTATAATCCCGCGGGGGGATCGTAGATTCGCACTGCTGAGGAGTCCTGTACTGAAACGAGAAGGCCGTCCAGTGCTTCTAGGTTTTCCATGGTGGTCTAGTTTTGATGGATTCATGAATTCAACTATTAAATTACTTATAAGTTAGTTGAGTACGAATTACGACTTCTAATTTTTCATGTGTAGTCATGTAATTAATACATGTTATCCCGTGAGTTTTACACTAAAATAATCAAAGGTGTATTAACTTGTTGTATTTGTTTTTTGACTAGCTATTGCAGATAGAATAGGGTAATCAAACCAATAGGATTTACAACTTTCGGGGTCATTTCTCACGGTCATTTATGTTATGGATTAAGGCGATGTCATTATTCTGTTATACTCATAATTAAGATATTTTTTATACCTTGATTTAGTGTATATATGGATGTACAAAGATCACAGCATATCTCATTAGCATTTTTGTGCTAAAGCAAAATAATTTAATATGTCAGTAATTAATGGCTGTGTTGTAGCATTCCCAAATAACATCAATGATCAATAAAGCCGTATTACAACAAAAAACTTTTCACCCAATTACTTTAAACTTATTAGTAGGTTGTTGTCATTATTTTAAAAAAAAATTAGTGTCTAAGCTAATCTGTACATAATTTAACACAGCAATCCCGACTTTTGCTACTAATAATAACGAACCATTAAAACAATAAATTTTAAAGGAAACAAATTCATACTTGTCTCATTTGTTCCGTTTGAAGTTTAGAAATGTCAAGTTCTTCTTTTAAACGCTTTATTTGTTTATTAGCGTTAAATTCTTTCATTTCATTTCTATGGTTAAAAAGAGAAGGTATAAATGAAAAAAATATTAATAAGGGAAATGAATCCAGTCAAAATATCTCAACTACGATGTGTTGGACAAGAATTATTAACGTCACTTCTTGATAAAAATGTAAATTATTACCACTAATCTGGTTGCTAGTTATAACTCTTTGTCATGTGTTTAAAGGAATAAGACTAGAAATAACTTGAAGTAATGAAGAGGCAGGACTGTGTGATAAAGATTTATTTGTAAACAAACTACTGATTAAAATGACATCGAAAAAATAATAACATCTGCTCACTAGTGACTGACTTCAAGAGATACTCCTGGAGTCCTAGTGAGGAGCCGTTACCAGTAGAGTTCAACCAGGTCTGTTGTGAGATATCATCTCACTGAAGACAATGGTGTACGGTGGCGCAACTTCGTGGATTGTTTGAATTTAGACATTAACAGCGTTGGATGCCGACTCAGTGGTCCAGTTGGTTAAGCGCCTGGAGCGAGATTGATATGTCCTGGGGGTGAGAGATCGTGGATGCGTACTGTTGAGGAGTCCTGTACTGAGACGAAACGGCCTTGCAGTGCTTCCAGGTTTTCCATGGTGGTCTAGCTTCAATTGGCTCATGATTTCAATCAGTGAAATTTCTGAAATCTCCACAAAACCCCTTCTGATAAAACTTTTTTCATTTTAAATTGTATTCCAGTAAAAAAACACAATTTAAATGCGTTGAACTGTCAGCTAACCGATAATTTACTTAGAAAATCAGTAGATCAAAAACGATTTAACTAACAAATTTAATAAAACTACCGAGTTATATTTCGTCTCTTCCTGATAATTAAATTTAAAACTCAAGTCTTAATTGATTAGAAAGTCAGTGATTTTTCAAGACTGATCCCCTTCTATTATCCATGATATTTCATCATGTTATATTATGTCATTTGATCACATAATATTCATTTTCCCAATTAAGGGTTCTATGCTTTATTTCAAATCATTTGTGGCATTATGTCAATAAATAGATCAAGTGATCAGCCATCCATTTAACCACACTGTATTACTGAATATCATCGACCGATTAGTATTCTACTCATTATTTTCGATAGTTGAAAAGTTGCTTACAAAATTGTACTATATAAAAAGTTTTTCATTTAAAAAACGCACAAATTACAAAAAAAATCACATTGACATTCAAACCATAAACAATCGGATTTCGACAACTCAGATGCCATGGTCAAGTTAGTTGATTACACAATTATATATTCGAGACAATTCAGAATGTATCCAAGTAGACTGATAAATGGATCGAAATGATTTTATGGAGTGAATATAATACACATTTGATGGATGAATGAATGGCCTAACTTATGTACATATTTTTCATAAATATAATTCTTGTTAACGATAACTTTCGTCATTACAAGTTCAAATTCAATAACTCAAAGTGATAAACAACCTTGAAGTAGATATATCTTTGAAAATTACTGCATATGAATTCAAGGATTATTTGTAAAATAAAACTGCTAGTATCTGAATGTTGACTTGACTAGGTCTATGCAAGTTAGATCGATTAGTGTTAGAGAACGTTACATTTTTTATTCTTATGAATACTTATCAATGTAGCTAAGTAAAAAGTTCTATCTAAGCACATCTAGCTCAACTGGATCATACTATTAGCATAAATCAATCGTTTTCACTTGTTTATTATGATAGCAATTATCCACCAATATATGTTATATTCGAAGTCCTTCAAATGGCAGAAGGAATAGCTATATAGATTAAAAATCCGGATCTTCGCGTGTGCAAAATATGTTCAACCTCTTCACTTACCATGGTCAAACTCAGGCCAGAATTTCAGCTATCTCAATGTTGGGGACGATAGATCCCCAAAACTCAAATTTTGTAATTTACTTATCGATTAAATATGCAGATAGGTCAATTGATGAACTATCGATTAAATGTACAAATAGGTCAATTGATGAACTATCGATTAAATGTTCAAATACCAGTCAATTGTTGATTAATGTTCAAAAATCTTCCATGACAATATCGATTGTAAATATTTGTATAAATACGCTTGACTTGTATGCTTGATCTGATCTGCCTGCCTGACTTGTTATCTGCTGTTGTCTGTAGAATACACTTTCTACACCTTACACAGACTTCTTGATCGAGTTAGCAGAGTTGGGGACAACGGACCAGAATAGGCTATCGAGATTCTGAATCCTTGATCCGATCGATAAGTCACTGTCATATAATCGCCTGTCTCTTTGAGGCATAACAATTGGCGACGGGGTAAAAAAAAATACAATCCAAAGTCATTCTGTAATTGGACGAAATCCAGTCTAATTATCCAACCAATCAGCATCCAGATTGTCGTCAGTGTCCTTCAACGACATTGGTCATTAGTCGTACAGTAATTTTCATCACAGGTGCTGATTCGAAAAAAATGACTCTTCCTTCCGATCGATTGCAGCTGCTCTTTGAACGACATTTGGAGTTATTAGTCAAATTCCGCAGGCAGCTGCTAAATCACTCATGCTATGAAGACGCGACAGAAGTGGATGGATTGATATCTGAAATACACAGTGAGCTGGAAAATGGCAGCAGCCTCCATGAATCCTCGATTAACTGTACTTCAAACGGAACGGCAGTCATCCATGATGCGCCCAGTGGTCCAGTCCTCTCCATTCCAGAAACATGCCCGGTAATGGACTCAAACTCCATTATCCCCAAAACAGCATGTGCAGACGGTGACTTATCCAGCTCACAAACACACTCTCTGGTAAATGCTCATAGAATTGTCGCAATAACCACCCATGAAACAGAAAACAAATCGAGCAGTACACTGAATACAACTGCTTCAAATGGTTCTCATCAGTCTGCGACACATGTTTTTGACAAATCTTATTATCAAGATTCTCTTTTACCAGAAAATATGTCAGATGCATCAAATTATGATCAAAAACTTAATACAATTTTGATAAATGCTAATTACCTTGATGATCCATTATCTACAAATAAGATTCCAAATAAATTTGGTCACAATATTTCAGAAGAATTAAACTTCGAACACCTCATATCAAGTGTTGTTCAGCCTCAAGACTTAGTCACTTTCAGTCAATTCTCTGTTCAGTGCGATAAATATGTCTTAAATAAATTCAAGTTAATTATAACGTGGGCATATGAGGATCCAACACTGTTTCGTGGGGGAGGATGGACCTGGAAAACTTAAAATCCGGATATCAACTCCGGATCTTCTAAAAAGGGGAGGAGTGTTGGGGACGATAGATCCCCAAAACTCAAATTTTGTAATTTACTTATCGATTAAATATGCAGATAGGTCAATTGATGAACTATCGATTAAATGTACAAATAGGTCAATTGATGAACTATCGATTAAATGTTCAAATACCAGTCAATTGTTGATTAATGTTCAAAAATCTTCCATGACAATATCGATTGTAAATATTTGTATAAATACGCTTGACTTGTATGCTTGATCTGATCTGCCTGCCTGACTTGTTATCTGCTGTTGTCTGTAGAATACACTTTCTACACCTTACACAGACTTCTTGATCGAGTTAGCAGAGTTGGGGACAACGGACCAGAATAGGCTATCGAGATTCTGAATCCTTGATCCGATCGATAAGTCACTGTCATATAATCGCCTGTCTCTTTGAGGCATAACACTCAATTATTAGACAACCTAGTAATACGGTTTTAAATGATTTCCACATATTGTATGATAAACGAAAGCTAATAATTACAGGAAAGCAACTAAACTTATACCTTTTTATTAGGTAATATTCAAACAATATAGTCATTTTATTCTTTAATCAATGCTAATTATGTAGTCATGCATTAATATGCAAAAGATTTATGGATTTAATTCAACAGTAAAACTATGATCTTGTTTTCAAGTTTTAGAATAGCCTACCATCAAAAGTGACTTTCTCACAATTGATTGATCACTGGGTGGTGATCAATGTCATGCTTGTCTAGTCCTTATTAGTGCAGATCGAATGCTATCGATCATGTTGCAATGTGGCCACCAGTCTAGGTGACTCGACACTGTGTGCACTATGTATTGAGATTTAGATGGTGGTTGGAGTTAGTCGACAGGAAACCCTGGACCCGGGAACTGGTGCCAAGTAAGGACTTGACACACATGACATTGATCACCACCCAGTGATCAATCAATTGTGATTACATCTCAGTCCTACAGGAGGTTAGTCACGACTCGGATAGCTCAGTGGTAATGTCTCTGACTGTGAAGCTGGGTGACACGAGATCGAATCCGCCAGGGAGCACCAGTTCCCTCAAGATTACATGTACGCCTTGCTGACGAATGCCAAGTAGCACGAAACCCGGGTCCAGGGTTTCCTGTTGACTACCTTCAACCACCATCTAAAAGTGACTTTCTATTTAAAAGTCTCCATTGAATTAATAACAAAGAAAAACAGCATTCATATAACAACTTACTCTCTTTGTTCTTTTAATTTGTTTATGGCCTTTTCTATTTTTTTCTTCTCTGCTTCCATGATATTTAGTTTAATACGTATTTCCTGAAAGAAAAGATAATGAACTTAGAATTACCGAATTATTTATTACTAAAATTAGTTGATTTTTATTGAAACTTATTGATCAAACGTCCTGATTTCTTTTTAGTTTGAATGTAATTTCCATTACTAGTGGAAATTATCTGTATTATATGTGTGGATCCTTCGATACTTGAGAGATATTCATCATTCTTAATTCAGGATTTTTCGTTATGTCCATTTATGGTAACACCGAGAAGAAAACCATGGACTTTTAGTCTCTGTGATAGAATATTACATTTCACTATTATGATTTGATTTACGTTCTAAACCTCTCAACAAAAAATAAAACTGTTATATCCTGATGAGAATAATGAATGGTAACTTTGAGGACCCATTTATGAATCAATGTTACGCGTATATTTATATTGCATAATTGTTTAATGGCTAAACTATTCATGTTCGTCTTCCTCTTATCATAAGCTTTATTTTGACCTATGAACTGTTATTATACCATTTAACAATCTTGAGTTATGCCCTGTCTATTGATTACTACCCCCCCCCATATTCACAGCCACATTTGGCTAAATCTTGTACAAATGTCGTTTCCTATTTTATGATACGATATGGTCTGTTTGGTTTGTATATAAACTCAGTATGTTTGGAATAAATGATTCATATCACAGAGGCTGAGATTGGTGTTCTAGACTTAACTGGAAAGGATAGGCTGGAAGCAGGACCGATAAGTACTCTAGACTGCTCGTACGGTTTTAATGCGTCATTAGTCCGATTGACAAATTATTGCTCTCTAATTGGCGGTATCATTACATTATACATTACCAGGGCATACAGGCCACAAGTTATGACAAAAACCAGTCAGTCAAGAGTGAATTTGTTCTTTATGAAGCCAAGTTAGAGAAATGGTTCGCACGATTTTCTATGAACATAAAGGCTAGGTTTGTTGGTAAGTAGCCCTATCGTTTCAGTTATAATCAAAGATATACATGGAAACCATGCTGAAAACTTTGTGGTACGTAGAAGATAACATGAAAATAGTTGTTTAAGTTTACTTGATGTCTTGCGTTAATCAACCAAGTATAAAGCTTTTAATCAACATTCATTTACTTTTACTTAACCAGATGAGATGGTATTCGGAAATTTGATGGTATCATTTTCATAAACAATTGTGAACGTGTAATGGTTTCATGTAATAAATCTGCACAAACCATTTTTTTTCAAAAAATAATATCACTTGAGGATAATTTGTTTCAAAATGCTTTCGAATAACATTTGTAGCGACAAGCATATTGACAATTATAACTTCTCCTAAAGATTGTGTTTTTTGCCTCTGAAAAACTTCAGGGCAAGATAAGAACATCTTAAATTTTTTCCTACCAAGTTTCAAAATACCATTCGATATCTTGAAAGCAATCTCAATAACATCGTCACTTCACAAAATCTAAATTATGATAATAATTTAGTTTGTACCCAAATTATACAACACGAAATACTTGACTGAGATAATTTCTTAGATGACATAGACCTATCTACTAGCAGACATTCTTGGGAAGCAAATGTTGTGATATTTATTTATCTAAGTCTTTAAATGTCCACAATTTTACTGTTTAAAAAACCCTTAAATGTAAATTTTTAATTAAATTGCATTTGAATTTTGAATGAATATCCAATAATACTGCTCGAATGTTAGTGAAACAAGTCGGAGTAAATTGAGTTATTTGGTTTAAATTCATGTGAGTAATGATTTGATTCAGATATGTCTCTGTACTAACCTGTTAGCTAGTTCTGATGTTAGCAGTCTAATTATACTAACTAAATGTCCTTAATAAAGTGCCATTAGTTGATAATGGGTTTGTTACTATGTAATTAAATTCAGAATGTCTTCATCTATAAATGATAGTTCAATCTATTTAAATCTGTGTAATTTGTTTCGTTTGGAGAGTGTTGTGGCAAGCCCATTTGGCCACTGTATCATCTGTCTATTCATTGTAACTTAGACTCTCAATTCACTATGTTAATTTCGGAGTGTATGATCGAATGCATGTCTGTACATTAACTTTTAAACTATTTTCCTATTGGTTTCAACGTGCAGATAATCGATAATTTATCTACACCCGATTAACCCTCAAATATATATGGACTTTTTTTTTTTTTAACTCCGCCTGGAGTCCCTCCGGGGGCTACTGCCGGTCCCAAGCCCGGATAAAGGAGGAGGGTTGGGCATGGGGTTAGCGTCCCCATCCCGTAGAAAACTAACTCGCTAAAAAAACGCTAACCAGAAAAAATTATTCAAACCTTTTAAACTCTGCCCTGGGAGTCAGAAGGTCTTCATTTAGAAGAATTATGACGCCTCATGATGAAAGCCGAATTCCTTCGGAAGTTACGAGGCCGATGCCCCTTCTGACAACCAGAGCAACCATTTATTTAGGTACATGGAATGTTCGTACAATGTGGGACACCGGAAGAGCCTTCCAAATTGCTGCAGAAATGAGAAGATACAACCTAGAGGTACTTGGGATCAGTGAAACACATTGGACACAAGTTGGACAACAACGACTAACTACAGGAGAGCTCCTGTTATACTCCGGCCATGAAGAAGAAAATGCACCACATACACAAGGAGTTGCATTGATGCTGTCCAAACAAGCGCAAAATGCACTTATAGGATGGGAATCTCATGGACCAAGGATCATCAAAGCCTCCTTCAAAACAAAGAAAGAGGGCATTTCAATGAACATCATCCAATGCTATGCGCCTACCAACGACTACAATGAAGACGCTAAAGATCAATTCTACAATAGGCTGCAGTCAATCGTCGAGAAGTGCCCAACAAAGGACCTGACCATTCTGATGGGAGATTTCAACGCCAAGGTTGGAACGGACAACACTGGATATGAAGACATTATGGGACGACACGGACTGGGAGAAAGAAACGAAAATGGTGAGAGATTTGCAAATCTATGTGCCTTCAATAAGCTGGTCATAGGCGGCACCGTATTCCCACATAAACGCATACACAAAACCACATGGACTTCACCGGATCACTCTACACAAAACCAAATCGACCATATTTGCATCAACAAAACGTTCAGGAGGACTATAGAAGACGTGAGAACCAAGAGAGGAGCTGATATAGCATCAGATCATCACTTACTGGTCGCCAAGATGAAATTGAAACTCAAGAAGCACTGGACAACGGGGCAGACAGTATCACAAAAGTTCAATACGGCCTTTCTTCAGGATACTAACAAACTCAACAAATTCAAGATAGTCCTCAGCAGCAAGTTCCAGGCCTTTCATGAGCTACTCAATGGAGAAGGAACTACTGTGGAGAGCAACTGGAAGGGGATCAAAGAGGCAATCACTTCAACATGTCATGAGGTCCTGGGTCACAAGAAGCACCACCACAAGGAATGGATCACTGTTGATACACTGGATAAGATTCAAGAAAGAAGAAACAAGAAGGCAGCGATCAATACCAGCCGAACAAGAGCAGAAAAAGCTAAGGCACAAGCTGAATACACGGAAATAAACAAACAAGTGAAAAGGAGCATCAGAACCGACAAACGTAAATATGTGGAAGATTTAGCAACGACGGCGGAAAAGGCTTCAAGAGAAGGAAACATGAGACAATTGTATGACACGACAAAGAAGCTCTCTGGAAATCGCCGCAAACCAGAACGACCAGTGAAAAGCAAGGAAGGCAAGGTAATCACCCACATTGAAGAGCAACAAAACAGGTGGATAGAACACTTCAAAGAACTCTTGAATCGACCAGCGCCACTGAACCCACCCAACATCGAAGCAGCACCCACGGACCTCCCAATCAATGTTGGCTCACCAACAATTGAAGAAATCAGCATGGCCATCAGGCAAATCAAGAGTGGCAAAGCAGCAGGACCGGACAACATCCCGGCAGAGGCACTAAAAGCAGACGTAGCGGCAACTGCAAGGATACTCCACATTCTCTTCAATAAGATTTGGGATGAGGAACAAGTACCAACAGACTGGAAAGAAGGACTCCTGATCAAAATACCGAAGAAAGGCGATCTCAGCAAGTGTGATAACTACAGGGGCATCACTCTTCTCTCAATACCGGGAAAAGTCTTCAACAGGGTATTGTTAAACAGGATGAAGGACTGCGTAGACGCCCAACTTCGAGACCAACAGGCAGGATTCCGTAAGGATAGATCGTGTACAGACCAAATCGCAACTCTACGGATCATTGTGGAACAATCAATTGAATGGAATTCATCACTCTACATCAACTTCATTGACTACGAAAAGGCATTTGACAGCGTGGACAGAACAACACTATGGAAACTTCTTCGACACTACGGCGTGCCTCAGAAGATAGTCAATATCATACAGAACTCATATGATGGATTACACTGCAAAATTGTGCATGGAGGACAGTTGACAAAGTCGTTCGAAGTGAAGACCGGTGTTAGGCAAGGTTGCTTACTCTCACCGTTTCTCTTTCTCCTGGTGATCGACTGGATCATGAAGACGTCAACGTCTGAAGGAAAGCGCGGGATACAATGGACATCTAAGATGCAGTTGGATGATCTAGACTTCGCAGACGATCTGGCCCTTCTATCCCACACGCAACAACAGATGCAGGAGAAGACAAACAGCGTGGCAGCAGCCTCAGCAGCAATAGGTCTCAACATACACAAAGGGAAAAGCAGGATTCTCCGATACAACACAGCATGCACCAATCCAATCACAATTGACAGAGAAGATTTGGAAGATGTAAAAACCTTTACATATTTGGGCAGCATCATTGATGAACAGGGTGGATCTGATGCAGATGTGAAGGCGCGGATCGGCAAAGCAAGAGCAGCATATTTACAACTGAAGAACATCTGGAGCTCAAAGCAACTGTCAACCAACACCAAGGTCAGGATTTTCAATACAAATGTCAAGACAGTTCTACTGTATGGGGCAGAAACCTGGAGAACTACAAAAGCCATCATCCAGAAAATACAGGTGTTTATTAACAGTTG